GGACAGAGCATCTTCTGGGAGCACCTTCCCAGCTGTGGTGCCCATCGAGGTGAGGTGGTGGCAGGGGAAGAGCCCGTCCCTGGTGCTGAGGGCTGGGGGATCCCCTCGAGGTGAGTCCCCCGTCCTGGCAGCGCTATAGGGAGCCACTTGCAGGCTTACCAGGCAGGGGAGTTTCTCCCCCCACCATCCTCCCTGCTGCTCAGTCCCCACGTCTCGCTGGCTTTAAGCAGCTCCTAAAGCGTGTGCAAACAATTCCCCTTGGGATGGGGACGGCAGAGGTTTGTTGGCTTAGCTCTAGGTGCTAAAATCCTCTTCATTCAAGGCAGATTCCTCTTCTCTGCTCAGAAACTTCTCTCATTGCCTGGTGGCTCATTTTTCATCTGTCACAGCATCCCCTCCCCGCCACCACCACCACTGACCCCGTGCTGGTCTATCCCCTCCAGCCCCAGATTGTTCCCAAGGAGCTGAAGGACCTTGGGGAAAATCCCAGCGAGGTGGCTGGAGGTTGGGAGGCAGAGGGTGCAAGCACTGAGCATCACCTCCCACTGATGCTCTGGAGATGGGATGTCTTTCAGGCAGACACCAGTTTAACCCTTTTCCTTCTCTCAGGATTGGGGTGTGTTTTGGGGAGATGGTTGGGATCAGTCCTGCTCCCCACGAGGACAAGCTCCTCGCTGCCTTTCTGTGTTGGTTTTGCAAAAGGACCTCACTGCACCAGCGTGGAGCCTTCTGCAGAGCGGGGCTGGTGGGTAAATCAGCACTGTCCTGCGGGAGGTGGCAGGGCAGACAGACAGACAGTCCTGGCAGCAGGAGGTTTCCACTCACGGGTGCCTCATGCAGCCTGTGAATGAGAGAAACCAAACAGGCAGGGCTGGTGGCTCAGAGCTGCTCCCACCACAGCTGACACTGTCCCCATCAGAGTGGTCCCTTGTCACCTGCATCCCTACAGGGACACCCCAGGGCTGTCCCCTGTGCTTCGGGATCACGCAGATGCCCGGCTTGAACCTGCCATCTCGATCACCTTGTGTCCCCCCAGCAGCCTGGATGTCCCCCTGAGGAAACAGGGACACAGAGTGGGGAGTCCCCATTCGCCGAGCAGTTGTCATGAGCAGGATGTCCTGGTGTGAGCGGGGCCAGAGCTGGTTCTGTTCAGCAGCTGGAACAGCGCTGGGGTTTGGGTTCAGCTGGGATTTGTTAGGAGAGAAACGCTGAGAACATCCCCATGTTGCATTTGTTGCTGGAAGTTGAAGGACTTTGTGTTTTGCTGGTCTGCAAGCGCAAGATCTCAGGGGTGAGGAATATTGCCATGGATCAGCTCCATGGGCATTGGGCTCTGCCAAGGGGCTGTTCCATCTCCTGTCCCCCATGGGCAGGAGATCCATGAGGGGCTCTTCCTCTCTTGCTCTCTCTGGCTTTCGCTCAGGCTCTGGCTCTCCCGGGATTGCGGTTTCGGGTCGGGATTGTTGCTCCTGCGCTCCTCCGGGATCGTGATCTGGGAACGGGCCGGGCTTGGTTGGTGGGTGGTGAGCAATTGTACTGTGTATCACTCATTTGTGTATTCTGTTACTGTTATTATTAACATTACTATTTCAATATTAGTATTATTTTAAGTTTTCTTTTATTTCCATTTTTAAATTGTTCTTATCTCAACCTACAAATCTCCTTACCCTTGCCCCTCAGTTCTCTCCCCTGGGCAGGGAGGGAGTGAGCGAGCATCTTGTCTTTGGCTGCCAGCCCAGTGCCAGCCCAGTGAAAACACCACATGGGATGAGGTTGAAATTCAAAAGCCCAGTGCCAGACCCTGGGAACAGCAGCCTCCCAAGGCAGGACCTCACCCCTGGCCCATGTAATCCATGGTATTGCTGCCTCTATAAGGGCACAATCCTGCACAGGGTAGAGTCCCCAGAACCTCCATCAGGCTTTTCCTGGCAGGGTGGCTCATCCTGATCCCCACCACAAGCCCTCGTGGCTGCTTGCAGAAGGGTCAGGCTTGGAGAGTTGCTTGGAGGAGGTCAGCTCCCACGGCGAGGGAAGGTTGAGGGAGCAAAGCAAATCCAAGTGACAGCTCAGGAGGTGCTGCTGCTCCCTCTGATCATATCAGACAGGAAAGCAAACCTCTCGGTTGCTTTCCCTGCCACAGAAATCAGCTGTAAATCAAGGAGGGATTAGGGGCATCTTCAGCAGCTGCCCATCTCCCCAGCCCAGTGTAGCCATCACCCCGGACCATCATGTGGATGCTGACACCAGCCCGGCGGCATCGCGGCACCACAGCTCCCATGCTCGCTCCTCGGGATGCTTCATGGGCATTTAGGGCAGGAGAAGGGATAAGCAGTGAAATTGCAGGATTAATGATTTCTGAAAGCTCTTCTGGGTACTGCTTTCTGAGCCAGAAGCTGCCGGGGAGCGAGGACAGAGTTAAGGTGAGGTTATTTCGGAGTCGGAGGGAAGAGTGTATGATGGGTTGGATGCTGGCTGAGGGGGAGGCAGCAACGCTCAAGGGCAATTTAATTCTCACTGCAGGAGAAATCTGACCCAGGCTCTGAGTTTGCAGTTAGCAAAACACATTGGTTTGGTTTTTTGGTTTGTTTGGGTTTGTTGTTTTTTTTTTACTAAATTACTTGCTATTTTATAAAGAGATCTAGAAAGCAATAATTGCAAACAACACCCACCCAGCCCCATCATCCAGCCCCCTCAGCTCCCCGAATCCACGCTGGCAATCATGAGATGACGGCAGACAGCAAATTTCCCAGCAGTTTGCGGCTGCTCTCTCCTCCTGAAAGACCCCAGTCACCCGGCTGCCAACGGCTCAGCCTCCGGCTTGAGCAGCATTTCGGCAGGGAAGAGGCTGGGGGGGGCTCTTGGCAGAGGGCTGAGCTGGTGACACCCCCTGTTCCCATCACTCCTAGCCCTGCAGCAGCTTTGAAACAACAGGATTAGACTTCCCAGTCATCCCAAGCCTGAGCTGCTGTGATACAGCACAACCAGCCTGACTCAACCACCTGCAAATACAAATAAAATTGCATTTTCATATTTTAATCTTATGCATTTAAGATTAAAGAAATCTTAAATACATACATATATAATGTGTATATTTATATATATGTACAAATGTAATGGCTCAGACTTTGGCCAGCACCAGGACCTGGTAGCTCTGGCACCAGGACTAACAGCATCTCGCAGAATCCTGTTCCACCCAGCAGCTCACAACCACCCCTGCAGCCCAATTCAATCAAGCACTGGCCGGAGAAACGAGGCCAGGCAGCATCTCCACAGCAGAGAAGATGTTCTCATCTATTGTAATTACATTTTTGCCCATTTATTTCTCTTACTAAAATACCAGCTCTGGGACCTCAGTGCAAACTGGGGATGAGTTTTCCTTCTCCTGTGCTCTGTTGCCACCTGGCTGTATTTAAGTTGATGGTTTAGGATGTCTTGGTGTCACCCTCGAGCCTTGTTTTCTGAGATGCTGAACCTCGATGACTTCTTCTGCTTCTTCTCCGAGTCTTCAAACAGCTGGGAGAGGAGGGTGACAGTGGGATCATCTCCCACCAGAGCCTGGAGAGGAGCTGAAAGGAAACCCTGTCACCCGCTCTGCCCTGTGGATTTTGGGGATGTGTGGGACGAGGGGTGCAGAGCTCTGCAAGATCCTGAGCTGGTGAATGAAACGCCCAGCTTTAACCATCATTTGCATTACCCTCATTAAGTGGAGTCTCGGACACAAGCTGAGTCCTGGGGAGAGATTGGAACAAACCAGCCCCTCAGCACGAGGTTGGGGGAGATGGTTCAGAGAGGACTGAGCTCCTTTGAAGCAGCATTTCATAAATCCTGGTCTTAAAAAGGGCTTTGCAGCCTTCGCCCTCGCAGACCTGCCTAAGAACAGACGCGCTGTTCCCCTGGGTATGGCAGCAGGTTTATCAGCCGATGTGTTGCTATTTTTTTTTGCCAGGCACCCGGGGCCATTCGCGTTTAGGTTTTCAGTGATCATTTAGCAATCGGCCCCCATGCAGCCCACCCAGTGCAGGTGCCGGAGGGGGAGATGTCCCCCCTTTTGTGGTTTTTG